GATCGTTCTTTTATGCTTCTGTTTTGTTTCTTAATAGAGACAGACTCTGCCTCATATCACACACATTCCAAAGACTCCTCTCCTGCAAACTGACTCATTTTGGAAATATGCAAATGGCATGTAAGAAATTAAAGAAATCTTGCTTTAATATATCAAAATTAAAGCTTTCTCCTGGAAACCTTTAAAAACTAAGAAAAAGTAGAAATGCACCAAGAAGCATGAGGTCAGTTGGGGAGAGGGCACGGGGTACACTGGGAAAGGGGAAGACAAACGACAAAACACCAAATATTCTTGGCTCTTATGAAAAGCTACTCTGTTCATTTACTGGGAAGCACCAAACAAAAACTGCTGCCCATTTCTCTGTTTCGGTTTCCTGAATATAACTGGATCACCCACTGGCTTCCACGGTTACATGTTCACAGAACAATGTTCACTAGCATAAATCCATCAGCTCGGTATATATCCAAAGTGCTAAAAAAGAATACCACCAGACTGAACTGGTGTCTGCATGCACATACCTAGTGATATGATTCCATCCGGGCAGGACATATGTGTGAGAGGCACTGAGCACCTTCAAGCACTGATGCATGTTCAGGCTTATCAAGAAATATATTACATATCAGACCAATATGCTGAACAGCATGTTCTGTTTGTAGCCGTGTTTTTTAAAACATTTTACACATCTTCTGCAGTCCCTCTACAGTCCCAAAGCAGCCTGTGATTCTCCCATAAATATCTCACACAACACTAACAAAATGTGAAGTTCAGAGGTCGAAATCACCTAGAATGGGAGGTTGTGCTATGTTTCCAGCATCTATCTCATCCAGAACCGCCTTCACATCCACGTTCTGGGCAACCCTCAGGATGGCAGCTGCTAACTTAGAACAAAAAAGAAAAGAAAGGAAGGAAGAAAAAAAAGAGTGCACAGTGGAGGAGGCAAATGGATTATTTTTAAGAAAGAGCACAATCTAACTTTTTTCTCCACCACCCACTCCACACCACCTCCTCATTCCCTTGTCTCCCCTCCTGCTTCTTCTCTATTTCACTTTCGTCCCCAGCCTCTCTCCCCATTGCTCAGTGCACGCACTTTTCACACGTATTTCCTAGGAGACCAACTCCAACACCACACTGGGAAAAGCAGCTGTGCAAGGACTTGGAGCTGCTGCTGTGCTCGGAGGGGGAAATGAAGCTAGTTAGCATCTTCCTCAGAGCTCCAAATGCGTAAGAATCACAACATGCAGTCACTTTTTAGAAGCCCTGCCTTGACACCAGAGCCACAGAGAAAAGAAAAACCATCTCTGTTATAAGCTAAATGAACCTACTAATTATGTCATCTTCCTGATGTGCTTAAATACTGGAAGATATTTGGCTTATTTCTTCTTGTAAGCGCCTTTTACTACTCAACTCTGTGCCTCTTTCATATGGTTTCTGAAGCTGAGCTGTCTGAGTTCCGTGTGGAATAATGTGTAATTTCTAAGTGTATGTGATACATCCATGTGCCCTGTGTGGGTCAATTTTTTCCATCAGCTGCGGATGACAAGCAACGCAACACACTTGGGAGTCATCACCAGACCAAAAGACCACTTTGGCAATAACTAAAACAATGAGGCACTTTCCAAAGTGGAATAATTAAACGTTAGGGCAGGATTTTATGTAAGGGAAGAAAGCAGAGCAGAATGTAAAGATTGTGCACAAGGACTGAAACAAGAAAATCAGCTGGAACTTTTATCTATAATGTGGGAAATATTGAGACCAGTAAATGCAATCCTTATGTTTTAGTAATCCATTCAATCCTTAGTAATCCATCCAATCCTTAGTAACCCATCCATTCAATTACTCTTCAACAAGCTTTTATTAAGCACATGCTAGTTGACAGGCACTTTGCAAACATAGTGAATAAGGCAAACCTCATCTTTGCTCTTAGGGAGCTTACAACCTAGTAGCAGCATCAGACAAAACTACAGACTCATAGAACTGCAAGTTAAAACATATGTTATGAAGAAAACAAAGAACCGAACAAGAATAACACTGGAGACTCTACATAAGAGAGAGAAGTAAGGAAAGCCTCTCTGAAGACAAAAAACAAAAACATAAAGGGAGAAAAACAGGATAAGAGAAGAGGTGACCATTCCAGAAATACAAGAATGCATGTGCAAAGACCCTGCAGCAGAAAAGAGTCAGGCACCAAGGAATGGAAAAATCAGTGTGGCTGAAGTAAAGTCAGCCAAAAGAGAATGACACAAAGCAGGAATGATGAGACACTGTGGGTTGAGATGCCCAACTGAGATTTTATTGTAAGGGTAACAGAAAGTTTACAGTAGAGGAACGCCATGACCCAATTTACACTTTATGATGATTCCTCTGTGTGGGAAATAAAAAACTTGAAAAGTGGAAGCTGCTGCAATTGTCTAACAACTGGTCCAGAATGTAGTAGCAAAACTGAAAAGGAATAGAAGTATTCAGACATATTTTAGTAGAGCCAACCATCACTGATGGACAGCAGATGAAGGTGACAGCAAGGAAAGAATCACAGATGATTCTCATGAAGTTACTCTATTTATGATTCTTTTTTCTTTCAAAAATCTTGTAAGCATCACTTGTTGTTATATGGGCAGTTCTTGTGGGAATCTAGTCTTTGGAACATGGTATGTCCAGAGACATAAGTAATTCAAACACCCAGATACATGAAGAGCAGAAATTATGTATGACTATCTTGAAAGACAATGATTGTACACTAAACAATTGTACACTAAACGAGTTTTTCAGTAAGAATTTTGTTGTCATATTGCTGCCAAAGACCTATAGTACTTCCAAATATCATAGAGCTAAACATCTTTGTATATCTGGGTGCAACAATTCTGACTTTTAAATAGAACTGTGCCAGGTAAATCAGCTACCAATTCATTAGTCTCTGTCATAAAAAATAAAGAAAATAGGACTTACCAGAACTTCAAAACTTATAAGAACTTCATATTGAATTGGATGGCTCATGTCAAAAATGTCAAAGGCATATTACATCACAACTTTTAGATTAACAGGAAAGTTAACTGTAAAATGCAAATTTTTAAGTAATTTCCTTAGGATTATTGAACAATTTGGTTCTTAACCATGGTCTCTCCATAAGATCCCTAAGACTGAGTATACAATACAAAACACTCTGAGGGCAAAAAGAATGACCATCTTGTTTGTTCTATGCTGCCCTCAAGTTTGGTCCCTAAATATGCTGCCCTCAAGTTTGGTCCCTAAAAGTCACAGAAATTAACCGTTCTCCTGTGGTTGATACACACTCAGTCTCACTACCTTCTGATCAGTTCATTCCTTATACCTACTTGAGTGTTACTGCCATTGATGCCATTATCCTTCCCCAAAACTGGTATAAATCATCATCTCAAAATTCCTTTGCCCATTTGTCTAAGTGAATGTCTCTTTGCTTCTTAGTATTTATAATGATGATGCACTCCTGTTCTTAAATTGTAGGATAAGAGATTATTTATGTGAGAATGATAGGAGCAAGAGTGAGAGAAAAGAAAACACACACACACACACACACACACACACACACACTGGGGTGAGGGCACTATAGCTCTGATTCAGGCCTTGCCAAAATAGATAGCAAATAGAGATAAAAAGGAGTAATTCATTTGGAAAGAGATGTTATCTTTTGTTCCTCCAGACTATTAACTATGACCTTTCTGTCTGTATTTCAAGGACTCTGCTTGAAACAGACCCTATTATTTTAGTCAATATACGAAGAATTCCTTTCAGAAATATTCTTCTCCCAACATGCCAACTCAAAGGAGATAACTCTGGTCTCCTGCCCTCTGATCCTAAGTCTTACATTTATCCCAAAATCTTTAATTTATTGATCAATCTCCAAGCTCTCCTTAAAACTTTGTTCTTAATTTGGTGGTTCATCCACTTTGTTCCTCTCTGCATAGGACTTCTCTGGCTTCTAAACCACCTGTTCAGTTCCAACAGTGAGACTATAAAAGATTAACAGGTTCACATCACTACACTTCACACCCTCTTTAACTTAACTCTGTAAATTCACTTTTCGAATCTCCTGAGCTGTTAATTCTAATTAGGCTTCTAGTCACCTGCAATGACTGAACTGTATTCTGATCAGCGATTCTTAACAATACATCTTATTGCAGGTTCTGTATTTCTGCAACTGTAGCAAAGAGATGAAGAATGTATAGAGTTCTGCCAACATGAAAAGCTGTCACTATGTAACTCCTGTTGGGGAAATCTCCAAAACTGGCAGGTGTTTCTACTATTTCTCCCTTCTACTGCACATATTCATTCTCCTTTCAGCCACAAAGTTACACAGATAGCCAAATATTCTCCACTGTCCAAAAAAAAGCAACATACATACAAATACCCCCTAAAAACACAGTTTATCTTGCCATTTGACTCCAAGGTGTTCTTTGATCTCTTGCTCTTCTGTTCTTAACACTTCTATCCAATGTATATCTACTATGTTCAACACCTTAAGAGCTGTGTCAACATGTATTCTTCTCTTACAGGATGCTTTCTACTATTTCATTTTAAATCATCAACCTGGACCATAGCCTGGTTAAATGTCACCTGTAATCTAAAAATGTCATATGTGTGTACGCACGTGTGTGTTTACTCATTTTAATCTACTATTTTAATTGAACCTATTTCTAAAAAGAAACAATCCAAACATTTCTCTAAGAGTCTTCCCACTACTATTGATTGCTGTAGTTAAATACCATCGATTCCACTCAGCTTTATTTTACTTGTCAAAATATGGAATACGTGACCATGATTAAACTCTGTCACCTCTTTCCTAATCAACTTAGATCATCTCCAAGATAAACCTTTTGGGACAAGAAAGTCCTCTCCATAGACATACTTTAGAAGAGACCATTCCAGCATTTTTGTGTCCCTCCCCCATTTGCCACAACATCCTAAAAAGTGTCTTTCCCAAGGATGTGCGACAAAAAGGGGCACCCGCACACACACAGAGTACTCACTGAGAGGCTTTAGGATGCTGCTACTGGATTCATCAGCATTCTCGACATCTGACTTGTCAGAATAGTTCTCAGAAATTCTCTCTTTTTCCTTCTTTTCTTTGTGCCCTGTCTTTCTCTTGTGACGTCTCCTTCTCCTGTAGCTCTTCGGCACGTGGACTCCAATATAGATGGTGTGGTGCCCTAAGGAATGCAGACAAAATCACCAATCATTTAAAATCACATCCTCTGCTATATTTAAATTGCACAAGGTCCACAGGTCTGAAGAAAATATCTATGATTCAATATTACCATTCCATTGCTGTCAAATAAAAAAAAAATGGGAAAATAAAATCTCCACCCAATTTTCACTTATCCAGAGTGTAATTCAACCTGTTGGTAGATGCTAGGATTCTGTAAATGACAAGATGTACTCTAGTTCAATCCAGACAGACTCCTTTCATTTAAGAAAACCAAAGGATACAGAATGGGGATATCAGATATCCTTGATTCAGGTCATACCTCTGCCACAAATTTGCTATATGATCTTGAGCATGTCCCTTGACTGTTCTGGGTCTCAGTCTCAACACTTATGCAAAGAGAGACTTAAATTGCATAATCCCTAGAGGTCCTTCCAGTTCTAACCTTCCATGAATCTGTGATTACACTGAATAGGGTTCTGAAAAAGGAGCTCTGAGAACAGCAAAAAATAAAGATCTGACTCAAAGTTCAAGAAGTCATTTTGCAGGGGAAAAGATTTTACATTAAAACTTTTTTTTACCCAATCAGCAGAATAGAAACTTAGAACTGGGACAAACTGAGAAAAAATAAGACATATTTGGAGAGAAGATTTTAGAAATACTCAAATGTTCACACTAGGAAACAGCTAAAATGAATGTCAGCTACAGTGCCATTCTCATTTTTCTTTTTTCGTTTCCAAAAGTTTCTAAAAACTGGTTGTTGCAAAGATAAAAATAAACCCAGCGCAGCAAAAATTGCCTTGAAGAGAAGGGCATGAGGAAAAAAGATTGTGAAATGCTTTTAGTTCTCTAGATGGAAGTGCTGCAAACTGACAAGTGGTATTATTTTTACAAAATCTGATAAGACAGGGAAAAAAGGAACTCAAAGTTCCACATCTTTTATTTCTTAATTGGGAAACTTTTACTTTCACTTTATGTACAGCATAACTTCTGAATATGAGAACCATCATTTCAAAGTAATGTGAAAACCTTTTTTTGAACTGTAAATTAGATTGGATTGTCTCAACTCTAGGTTTCTTTTTCCATTTGGAATTATTCCTTGATGACCACTACAGGTATCACAGGCAACAGCATAAGTCTATGTGCAATGCATGCATCTACGGTGTGCCTGTTATAAATTGCTATGAATTATTGTTCACAATAACTCTCCAGGAATACCTAAAAACACCATAATTCACATGATGTTCCATTAAATTGGAAGGATTAAAAGAAAATATGCTCCTCCAAGAGAGAGGTTCCAACTAAGCAATGCAGAACCCTCCCTATGTGAATAGGTAAACATTCAAAAGAAAATATCCAGTGTTTGGAATTAAGTCAGAGACCTCCACACAAAGCATGAACCTCCCCCCTACCCCCGCACTGCCAACACACACAAATACACAAGCACACCAGGACACACACCAATTCAACTACTACAAAGCACAGTGAAGTTCTCCTCATGGAATGAGAGCCAATGAGAAATTTATCATGTCTGACTATTTGCAAGCAAATTGTTCTCATGGGAAAGCTATATTATACTAGGAAATAGGAAATGTCTTAGAAACAATGTGAATGAAGAAACAGTGTCAATTGTTTCCTGCACTCTGGTTACTGAGGGAGTCCTGCAACTGTATCTCAAATCACACAATATGTACAAGAAAAGCCAACCAATTACTTTAGTAAATCAAACACTAAAAGACTGGATGCCTTCATTCAGAAACTAGGAAAGCATCATGGAAAAACTTAAATTGGAAAAATTTCTTAAACCTTCACATTAAGTATTTTCTACATCTTATTAAACAATGGCGACTAAGAAAAAAGGTAGGTAAGCTAGATTAGTCACACTGATGCTATACAGAAAGTTTTTTAAATATTTTTGTCCAAATCTTCACAGTACATTTGAAAAATCTTTTAAAATCCTTTATGGGCTGGCAGGATTTTAAGGTAAGATTTCTGGCTATAAAGTGATGTCACTGTCAGTCTAACAAATGAGTTAAGGTGATTCAGAGAGCAAACTTTCAAAAACCCGTAGAGAGGAATGCACCTTACATTTTGGAACCTAATTGAAGCTATAATCACCACAAAATGGTGCCATTTTATTCACATGATGGCCATATCCCTCTTTGCCTTATAGATTCTGTTTAGCCCATCCTCCTCGGAAGTCAAGGCAGTGAGTTGAGCTATTCAAAACTCTTCAGGCCCTGCCTCAGATGCTTCCCCTGTCACTCTGTCACTCATTTTACACAGCAGGAGAGGTTTAGATAAGATGCTGCTCTGTGGAAGAGCCCAGTCATCAAGTGAAAATGTGGCTTCTTTCAAGATGCCCCCCAAATCAGGTATTTTTATCAGTTTTACTGAAGTTTAATTTATGTTGCATAAAGTTCCTTTCGAGGGTACAGTTCAATGATTTTTTTGTATGCTGACACAGGTGTGCAACCATCACCATAATACAATTTTAGAACATTTTCACCAATCCAAAAAAATCCCTCAGGCACATTTGCAGTCACTGTTTCCACTTCCAGTCCATCCAACCACTTTCAGGCACTTCTTCACACTTTCAGTGACTGTTTCTGGGAAACTACAGTCCTCACACCACTATGAACTTCTTGTGGGGGTCTTCATCACAGTCAAAAGGAATATTCCCTGAATGAGGAAGGCATTGCCTTCCACAAGGTACTAGAGAAAATCAAGACACTGAGCTGAGCAATTCAAAACTCCAAGCACCCTCCTTCTCCTCTCACACATTACTGGTAACTAAATTCTCCTCCTGTCTGGTGTTTGGACAGAGAAGGAAAATGATCCCTAAGTTAAACAAACCTTTAGGAGCTCAGAGACAGCACTTGTGTTTCATCAATTCCTTCTCAACCTCTCTCCAATTCAGCTTTGCCCGTGAGAAGAGCACAAGAAAGCCTTGCTTTGCTGAGTGGGTGTAAGATATGCTTTCTCAAGGTGATGACCAAATATTTCATTAGCTGTGTGTGCTAAGTAATAAAAATACTGAAAGTAAAATGAGCTGGAATGGAAACATTCTTACTGCCCCCACAGAATACCTGTTTTTAGGATCAGTAGAAGCAACATTACTGTTGATGATATGCTTCTGGTGGTGCAAGAGTTTAAGCACCGCACCATGAAGCAATCTGCAGCCTCTGCAGCACGAGTTCGATCCCCAGCCGACATGTGACAAGGCAGACCTCTCCTGTCTCGCCCACTGCTCCCCTCAGCAGTGTATTTCAGTTAGTCTGCCTGTTCTGTTCTCCACTCTGTCTCTAGTGGATCCTCTCAACTTCTGCTTCTCTGGCCTGTACCCCAGCTCTTGTATGCATAAATAAATAAATCTTTTAAAAAAAGAATATCATAGGTGGATGTCAATATTTATTTCCATTGTAATATCTTTACCTGTTTTAGAGCTGTGTCATGAAGATTGATGGCTACTTTTAAAACTACAACTCACAAAATAATTGGAAGCTCTTGGAAAAGTCATGTAAGTTAAGGATGTAACATTATTTTTCATGTAAAACAAAACAAGAAACTTAACAGATAAGTTTTTCAATCCACCAAGTCTGCAAAATAAGAAGATGCTCAAATAATCAGGGTTAGTTAGATGCTTAACTCAGAAGGTAATTATAGACTAAAAAAAAAAAACTTCTATGTGAGAAATTTCAGTAAAAATTGCTTCCAAAGGTAAAGTTTTTTTTTAAAAATGAAGCAAAAGTTTTCTGGGTAGCTATAACTCATAGAGAAGAGATGTTTGTTTATAATGCCATAAAAGTAATGGTTACATTCTTGCCACTCAATATTTTGTAAAATAAAACTACTGGAATCTACATTTGACAGTGTTCATCTAGATGTGAGTCAAAAGGCATTCAGTTCTTGATCTGGCAGTGTCCTCAGCATCGCGTGTTCAAACAAATACCCTGCATGCCTTTCTCTGATAGATGATGCCAGTTCCCAACAAACTCTAGATGTCTTGGGAATATCTTACAATCCATTCCACAGCCAGTACTACTGGGCAAAAACATGAATTTCTTGGTTATCTTTCAATGTCAGAAGTTATCACTAGGTGATCCTTGTTTCTTCCCATCCTCACCCTCTCCACCTCAGCTGAAAGCAGAACTACTTTGAATCTATCAAGTCAAATTCTCCCAGTTCCTAAGATATTTTTAAACTAACATCATTTATAGTTGCTATCATGTTTGCAGGTCAGCAGAGAACTCTTATACTTAGTAACTTGGAGTCATTCAAGTAAAAGAGACTTTCAGAGATACCCAGTTTACTACCAAGCACTGTTTAAGACTTTGTATAATTAAACCCATCAAACCAGAAAAGAGTTTTACACCAGCCAAACTAAAATTTCTATGGGCAAATGGAGGCTTAAGAAGATATGCCTCTAAATGCAAGACAGATATTTAAGGCTCTTCAAGAAATATGTAAATAGATGACCTATTTATCGAATACTTATAAATACGTTAGGTTATATCAGATCTCAAATCTATTACCTCACTCAATCCTCATAACTGCACAAATTAAAGAATGGCATTGTACAGACAAAGACTGTAACTGTCACTAACTCACAGAATTCCACAGAAGAAATATTCCTTATGTCCCAAAATCAAAAATAGTGAGTGTTTCATTCCTGTTTTGGGGTTTGAGTGTGTGTGTAATATACACTATAGTTTTACTATCAATAGCATAACTGATTGTGTTTCCTTATGTTGACTGTCACAAATAGAAGGGACAAATCTTGAGGCAATCTGCAGTGGGCAGACAGTTTCATGACATGAATTTTATAAACTAACCTCACTCTTCCAACTTTTCTAACAGTTATTTTCCCTTTACACTAAACCTTTTAGGAATAAAGGAGTATATAAATTTTGTTTTAAATCTGAGATGTTAATACTGGGAGTAGACAATGGGAAAGGCTGGAGGTAGCTATTGGGAACAGTAGATGTCTGGGCAAAGACTTTG